TCTATGACAAAGAGACAGACAGAGGCCCCAGTATACTAAAGACAGAGGTCATGAAAGCGATACAACAAGCAAACAATAACAGGGCGCCCGGTCCAGACCAAATTCCTAAGAAACTGGTTAAACTTCTGGACGAACTTAACCACACTTTTCAATAAAATATACCTATAAGGAAAAAAAACCCGAGGGTTGACTGGAGTCGCTTTTTATAAAATTACCTAAGAAGAGTAGACCCACTAAATGCAGCGATTTTAGACATCAGTCTGATGAGTCACACACTCAAGATCTTTTTGCGAATAATTCAAAATAGAATATTCCATACCTATATGTTAAAGTAAAACGAGTGAAAAAGTATAGTAAAAGTGAAAAGTAAAAAAGAGTAAAACGAGTGACAAAGAATTTGGATTTAGAGGCGGCCTTGGGCCAAGAGAGGTTTTATTTTGTTTGCGCCTTCTGCTTAAGTTTTAGTTGGTGTTGAAAACCAATTGAAAGACAAAAGAGAAATGTGTCATGACAACGACAATAATTAGTGTGTGTCACTTAGGGATTGCAATCCCGGAAGTTTTTTGCGATCCCGGGATTTCGGGATTGAGAGATTGAATCCCGAAAATCCCGAAATATTTTAGCAAAATAAAATACTATATGACAAAACAAGGAAAAACATTTCTCCAGTAATAATAATAATAAACTACACTAAAATTCTTTGACACAAAACACAAAATTCACAACTCACATTGTAGCTGCTTACGGAAACTATGATCGGGTCAACTCGATCACAAGTATTGTACCAATCTCGACGTACGGAACAGGATCTAGGATCAGTTCACTATTGTACGGACAGTGATCGGATTGTCCGGTTCAGAATAGTATATTGTGTATTTAGGTGGAAAAGTGACACATTCTCGGCCGACGGTGTAAGTTGACGGGCGAGGCGTAGCCGAGGCCGACAAACACCGAAGGCCGAGAATGTGCTTTTCCACCGAAATACACATACTATATTTTCTGCGATCGGTTAAATACCTGTTAAATCTTTGTCTTTTAGTTCCAATTATTCAGCAGTACGAGAATCACTTTCCCGGCCTAGGCCGGAAAAGTCTTTCCCGTATTGTTATTCATTGATTCCTTAGCAACTATCGAAACATAATTGAAATACCAGAATATTGAGTTTTGCGACCTGTCAACCGGTCAAAAATGCTGACATTTCTTGTCAATCGCAGAAAAACATATATTTGGATCTCGTCGACTCTGATAAAATGCGGGTTAAATAGGATTGGTAACCCAAGTTTCTTAGAAATCAGGAAGTTTTTTTATTGATACCTTCGACTATAAATTTGAGACTTAAAATGACAGGTAATACCTTAGAGAGCACTGAAGAAGATATTGTTGAAAATTTGATAGAAGATCCTCCAAGGGTTATAGGTGAATCTCGAGACGAATTGAGTGTCTCACAAGAACTTGATGAATAACCAGTACCTATTAAATCAAACACCTTCAAAAGTGAGAAATGAAAGTATGAGACCTTCTAATATTTTGAAAAGGCCACAATATTTGTTGGACGATTATGATATGAGTTTTTTTTGTTTGGACATAGATGAACCCACAACATACAAAGAGGCAATGGAAAGTAAATATGCGAGTAGATGAAAGGAAGCAATAAACGAAGAAATGAGCGCCTCAATAGAAAATGACACATGGCAGTTAATGGAAGAGCCAGAAAAATGTGAAATAATAGATGGTAAATGGGTTTTCAAAGTCAAGAAGGACAAAGGAAGTGAGATAAGCAAAATTTAAATGTAGACTAGTAGCACGGGGATTTAAACAAACCGTTTTTGAAAACGTATATAGTCCGGTTGTTAGATTGATTACCATAAGAACCTTTTCGGCTGTGTGTGTTCACAAATGCTGGAACGTTTATCAGAAGGATATATGTAATGCTTTTTTACATGGGAGAACTAACTGAAAGAAAACTTGTATATGTTTTTGCCAGAAGGATGTCAAACAGATGGTAAGGTTTGTAAACTTAATAAAGCCACATACCATGAGTTTAAAAAGGCCCCACTCTATGGATTATAACTTTGATTATGACTCTTTGAAGGTTGATAAATCTGAAAACTATGACATTGAAAACAAATGTAGACAAATTATAGGTAGTATAATGTATGATATACTTGGAACAGGCCGGACTTATGTTCAAGTATTAGTTTATTGTCAAGACGCCACAGCTGTGCCAGATATAAATTATTGGTTCCATTTAAAAGGGTCTTGAGATATATCAAAGGAATACTTGAACTTAAGTTGGTCTATATAAAAAAAAGAGAAGCAATAGATTTTTTTCAGGATTTGCTGATGCTGATTGGGGTGGCGATACTACTGACCGGACATCAACAAGTGGCTTCTGTCTCTATGTGTATCTTGGAAATCGAAAAAGTAATGTACTCTCGCTATCTCAACTACAGAGGCTGACATCATAGTCCTAAGCTTCTGTGTCAGTGAAGCTTGTTGGTTACATAATATGTTGTTAGATCTTAGGCTAATAAATGGATTTGAAGTCATTATTTATGAAGACAACCAATCTGCAATCCGTTCCTGCAGCTCACATGATCAAATGAAAAGAAATAAGCACTTAGATATAAAGTACCATTTTGTTAAAAACAATATCAACGAAGATATCATATAATTAAAATATGTTGCAAGCACTGAACAAATATCAGATATCTTGACTAGACACTTAAAGTCAATTGACATTTGAAAAACTGAGAAGTTTTATGCTAAATTAGGCATGGTTAAAATTTAGGGATATATTTTTTGTTGTTCGAAAGTTTTGATTAGGCGGGGGTGTTGCTGGTCGATCAAAATTATGTTTAAGTTGGGTTCTCAAAAACTACCTGTTAAACTTTCAGTACGACTAGGCTGTGTTCTGACGCTAATTCTTTTTAACTTATATACCCAGAAGAAATATTCAGGAAAGCTATAGATGACATACGAGAAGGTGTAAGACTCGGCGGAGAAACAATCAACAATATTATATACGCTGATGATTCAGCCAATCTTGCACTAGAAACTGGAAGATCTACAAACACTATAATAAAATAAAAGGCAAAATTAATACTTGGTTGACTACAAATAATATAAATTGGTTTTCTAAATAGTTTATTTCTCTCTGTTTATTTTTTATTTTTCGATTGCCACCCAATATCCAACATAAGTCTTAAAAAATGTAACATTAATATAGATATCCGAATATATTAGTTAGAATAACTTAAGCCTAGTAAATTATACATTAAGTGTGCACACACATATTGTATCCATAGTGCGCATATATGCTACATGTAATCTGCCATATTGTATCCCAAATATTTTTTGAAATAAATTTGAATTTGAATTTGATATATCGAGTGAATGCAGCAATCCGTCGAAGAGGTCTTAAAATCAAGAATACCAAAACAAAGTAGATGGTAGTCGTAAAAATAAATGTACACCAACGGCAGATTTGGGTCGATGAAGAGGAGATAGAGCGAGAGATAAACCATTTCAAGTACCTACTTGGCCAGCTGACTGAATATGAATCTTGAGATGTTATGTGTAGTCTGCCTTGCTTTATGGTTGCAAGACATGGCCACTAAAGGTCGCAATTATAAACCAGATAGAAGCATTTGAACTGTGGTGCTATCGCCGGCGCCGGATCCTAAACATATCGTGGGTTTCACACATCTTCAACGAGGATATCTTCAGAATGATGGAGACGGAGAGACAACTGCTGAACTTAAATACCAACTATTACCCCTCACAATACAAGAATAAGTGGAGACCAAAAATCACGGAAGACTGAAGAGTCAAAACTTGTCCAAAAGATGACAAAACAATTAGCCTTGGTCCACTTACCTCAATTGAATAAGGTAAAATGAAAGTTGCAACACGATGTAAAGCTTTTTTCGACTTAATTAGAGATGTATTTCCTGATGAAACTGGCAATACAGTGGATTGTGACATATCATTAGACTTAAATCAATCACCTGATAAGGTAGTAGAAACTCCTTCCGTATCGATTCAGTTGACATATTATTGATTAAGGTGAACATCATTATTTTTGCGACTGCCAAGAAGGTAACATAGGAAACTATTATTTTAACCCATCCACCAAATATGTGTTGCCCTAGGACTAGAAGTACAGTAAATGGATACTCTGATATAGAGTAATCTTCGCACTTTCGCAATATGAGGATGTTTAATATAGGTGAGCAATGAGAATTCAGCTCAATATTTCAATATAGGACATTCATTTTCCTCTGACTCCATTTATCCGCAACATCGCGAGACAACGTCCTCAATAATCTAAAGTAGCAAGGGGACAAAAGGCCACGACGCAATATTAGTTTAGGTCAAGGTCTTACGGGCTCTTGAAATGTGACGAGTTTGGAATTTGAATGACAATTCACAGAGAACAACTAGCTTAATCACTTGGAAGATTTTGTCATATTTTTGTGAAAACCAGGCAAAGATCTATGATGATGATCAATGATCAATCAACCCATCTAGTAGATTATCTAACTCTTACATACATGCTAACTCTTGAAATCTGGACGACCGACATGGACTTTTTCAATATTACCTAATATCATCAATATCATCATTAACTCATAAAAACTTTAAATATTTTCCAAATTTCAAAATGATCCACCCACAATTGTGTGATTTCAAAAAAGTATTGATCCTATTTTATTTTCAAAAAATCTTGTTTCACCATCATTCCAGTTCTTTTTCATTATTATTTTTTTAATGATCACCTAGGTCCAAACTGCATAAAATTATTCACATTGCCAGGGGTGACAACTCATGCAGGGCTTGTACGTACACGCATATTAATCACAGAATACTAAATTGACAAGCCCGATCGAATAGTCCAGCTCTTGTTCGGGTTTAATGTTGCGCCCTTTATTTATCACCCATTAAACTTGCATAACAATTTGTAAAATCGTAAATCTGTACAATTCAATTATTCTTACCTGTACTATTGACTTCGTTTGTTTCGTTATATCGTCAGTTGATCCCTGTATACTTCTGGGAGCTCTGATACACCCAGGAAACATTTTTGGATCACTGTTATTTGAATTTTTTCGTCACTATTTCATTCTTTGTCACATATTGTTCATTCGCATACATGATTTAAATAAATATCCTTTTTAAGATTTCTCTGGAAATAAGTTCTAAAATAAGCATTTCAACGACAATAAAGTTATAAGTCGAAAAAGATTGTCGAAAAATGGCTCTTTAAATAGCAATCTTCCTGCCAATATCATTTCGAGTTTGTTCCATTTGGAACTTTAACAAATTCGGGACATAAATTAATCCTGGAAAGGAGAGAGAGACAGAGAAAACGCAGGGCCATTTCTCTCTGGAAAACTTTTACGACTATAGAAGTCGTTTGTTTTATTATCCTGAAAAATTTCCGTTTCAGTGGAGGCTTATTTCAGGCTGGTTTCGGTTACTGGATGAGAGATAAAACTTCGAAATAGAGGATGTTAAAGCGAACGGGATACGGGGGATATTGTTTTACATAAAAATTGATATGAATACAAATTAGCGTCGTAAAGGTCAACTGTTATAGAAACGACTTTACAGGAAATAACAAAAAAAAATCTTGCGAAATTATTAGCTTGCATAATAATTGTGAAACAGGAACAGAAATAGTTAAGCCTTTTCCACGCCAATCATATAATTTGCTTAAGTTGTTGTTTACCCGTGGAAAATTGTGAAAATTCTGTTAAAGCTTGTCGCAGCTCATTAGTGATTTTATTTTCGTCTCTTGCTTCTCAAAGACGATTCGGTTTGCTTAATTTCGACTTTCCGCTTGCGCAAAAATTTTCTATTAAGCTAAAAGGTGCCTGGATCGTAATGTTTACTCGAATTTTCCGCGCTTTATAAACAGGCCGATAAGGTTTTTAGAATTTTCGTTTTGTGCAAATAGAATAATGGTTTTGAGGAAAGTTTTCCTTCTAGAAAGTTTTTGGAAAATAGAGCTTGAATTCTCTTCAAATAGAATCTCGAAGTGCAGGTTTTAAGAGAGAAGCAATAAAACAACAAATCGATTCTATTTTCTATCGATATCACTTAACGGATCAACACCAACAGTTTCTTTTTGCCGTTTCCTAACTAGAAATCCATTAGCTTGCCAAGTAAAAGTTATATTTAGTGTAGATAGAAATATTCAAAGAAATATCTATTTCATTTTGTCCGTTTTCAGTTAAGTACTTTTAGATTTTAAAATTATTACAGTATGGAACGTTTAAAAACGGATATCCGGTCGTACATTAGTTTGGAAAACTGGGCAATTTAATTTCAAAGGCGATTGTGGCTCTGGAAAAAAAACTGAAAACCTTGTTATCCTCTAAAACGTGATATTGTATTGATAGGGCTGCGGAAGAAAAACAAAAGGGGCAAGAACTGAACCTTTCCCAACCCCTAAAAGGAGAGGATACACTTTAGATATCCTGGAGTTGTAAAATTTTGCACGTTCGTTGACAAGGCTTGAATAAAGGTAGAATATAATTGTCCCTTTCTTAGCCGTAAAGGGTTTTTCCTTTTAAAATGTCTTTTGTGGCCTGAAACGTAATATTTTTTTTTGGGGAAAACAATACAGATCTAATGATGATGGAAAAGATATCGGATACGATTTTGAGAAATATAAAGTACAAGAGAGAACTAAACCTAATTAGTTTTGTAATTTGAAGCTGGACTTGGTAAAGGCAAATATAGGTTCAACACAGAATTTATCATCTACAAATTGCATACCCTCAAGAAATGCCTTTCGGAGAAGTTTCATCATATCGGTAGATTTCGATCTAATGGAGAAAAAACATACAACATACAAGAGAAACCTTTGGAAACCAGTCTAGAAATAAATTGACATACCTACATCTGAAGGCGCAGGATTTTAGTAAATGAGAAGATTCCAATTCAAAATATGATCATTATTCGTTATTATTATTATTTTATTAGGAGGAAATTATCCAGAACATCATACAAAAGATTATAACATTAATACAATAAGCAGAAATTCAACCAAACTATAGAATCAGCAAGCGCAAGCTTGGAAGAAACCATTGGAAATATTTAATTTTGTGTATTTCTCTTATTTCAGTATGTATTGCATAATACTTTCAGTTTAGCAACATTGTTTTATAAGCTTGACAATTTTTTTTTGTTTAGTTTTTGACAAATGTCAAGTATAGTCCTTGTAGTTTTTCAAGAAGTGTAGCTTGCTCCTGTAATTTTCTTAAATTTAATTCATTATTAAAAGCTCCTGCAGTAAAGTTTTCGTGCTTAGATTTCTTTTTTCCATTTTTTTTTCCATTTTCAGCCGTTTTCCATCCTTAAGATATAGGCCTCTTTCAAATTTGACCATTGTCTTCGGTTTTGCGCAACTCGGTACCAATTCAAGCCTGCAACCCTCTTTATATCGTCGTACCATCTTTGTTGGGGTCTTCCAACACTTCTCCTCTCTTCCCAAGGTCTCCATCCAAGAATGGGATGTTGAAGTTCCAATTGTAAAATGGATAGAGTCGATGCTGAAGCACCGTCACGTTACGGCTGAAATAAACGGAGCATCAGCTACCGCTACCACGGTCAGAGGGTGTCCTCAAGGGGGTGTTCTTTCTCCGCTACTATGGACACTGGTGGTAGACAAAATTCTTACCAGACTGAGTAGTGCTGGATACCAGGTCATAGGTTACGTAGATGACCTAGCCATCGTAATCAAGGGCAAACATGAAGGTATAGTGACAAGCCGAATGCAAAGTGCCCTAAACATCGTTAAAAATTGGAGCGAAGGCGAAGGACTATCCCTAAACGCAAACAAAACAATCCTTGTCCCGTTCACAAGAAGAAGGAAGCTAAATTTGAAAGCCCCGACCCTTAACGGTACACAACTAACATTTTCCAACGAAGTGAAGTACTTAGGGGTCACCCTGGACCAAACCCTCACTTGGAACAAACAGTTAGAGAAAACATGCTCTCGAGCTACATCAGCCATTTGGTCATGCCGAAGACTTGATGGCAAAACATGGGGGCTAAAGCCAAAGATGGTATTCTGGATCTACCAAACCATAATAAAGCCTATGGTCACATACGCCTCATTGGTGTGGTGGCCCAAAACCCAACAAGTCACCGCTCAGATTAAGCTAAGAAAGGTGCAAAGGCTGATATGTTTAGGAATAACGGGAGCAATGTCAACTTGCCCCACCGCAGCCCTAGAGACGCTACTCAACATGCCCCCACTTCACCTATGTGTGAAAAAGGAGGCAATAACCAGCGCTCACAGGCTATTCCAAATAAACAAGTTCAAGCCTGGCGATCTGAGGGGACATCTGAAAATCGTTGATCTAATAACACTGGAGAATGCCAGCAAACCAAGTGACCACATGATGGTCAGATTGGACTTAGAGATCCCCTTCGCAGTGGTAATAAACGACCGCCAATCATGGGAGAATAAAGAACTACCACAAGCAGACAATGCATCTCTGTGGTACACAGATGGATCCAAGCTAATGGTAGGAGCTGGACTGGGCATTTCCGGCCCTAACTTCAAGCTCTCCAAGGCATTGGGTAAACATCTTACAATATTTCAAGCCGAACTGCTTGCCATAGATATATGTGCACAAGAGTGTCTTAACCAAAGCCTCAAAAGAAAACACATCTTCATACTATCGGACAGCCAAGCTGCCTTAAAAGCCTTGAGGGCTTTCAAATGCACGTCAAAACTAGTCTGGGAGTGTAAACAGACCCTAAAAACACTAGCGACACATAACCAGGTAACGCTGATGTGGCTGCCTGGTCATCGAGGCATAGAAGGAAACGAAGAGGCAGATGGCCTCGCAAAGGAAGGGGCCTCAACACCATACCATGGACCAGAGCCCTACTGTGGCTTAATGAAAAGCCACATCATGGAAGAACTCAACAAATGGGAGAAAGACCAACTGTCATCATATTGGAGGCACACACCGGGACTCAGACAGTCAAAAAGGTTTATTACCCTTTTAGCAAAAAGAGCTGAACCGTTCCTAAGCATGAGCAGACCAGACATCAGATTGGTGGTGGGACTGCTCACAGGACACTGCCCAGTAAAATACCATTTAAGGTTAATGGACAGAGCAGAAGACGATCTCTGCAGATTCTGCTCAGACGCAATAGAAACCGCAGAGCACCTGCTCTGCGAATGTCCAGCCCAATTCTGCAAGAGGCTCAAATTCCTCGAGGGGGCAACACTGTCACCAGAAGAAGTGGGCCACCTGACACCCAGGAAAATAGCTTCCTTCGGCAGAAGTCTACGCTTCCTGGAGACAAATTAAGATGTAGAGTCACGCACAAAATATCTGCAAAGGTAGCAGTGCTGAGCGGCTGAAAAGCCGAAACGACTCCCCCGAAATCTACAATCTACAATCTACAATCTACAATCTACAAGGTCTCCATCTAGTGATATACCCGCTCCAGTTTTCTGTATGTCTGGCCACGTGTCCTGCCCATTGCCATTTTAGGGAACCAATTCTTTCTATTATGTCGGAGACTTTGGTTCTTTTCCTTATCCACGTATTTGTTTTGTGGTCTCTCAGGGAAATTCCTGAAATTCGACTTTCAATGGCTCTCTGATGTACTTCCAATTTGTGTTTAATTCTTCTGGTTATCACCCAGGTCTCGCAGCGATACGTGACCAGAGGCAGTATACACTCGTTATAGACTTTTGATTTCAAAGTCATTGGAATATTCATGCTGAAGATGTACTTTAACTTGCCGTAAGCCGCCCCAGTCTAATTCTCCTATCAATTTCCATTTCTTGATTTTGTTTGCCCGGTGTTATAGCTTGGCCAAGGTATATGTATGTTTCTGTCTTTTTTATTGTGCTGTCATGGATCGGTATTGTTTCGTCTGCATCTGGTGTATTTGTAATAAACTGGGTCTTTGTGTAGTTCATGTGTAATCCTACTTTTGCCGCCTCATCTTGTAGTTCTTCCAACATATCTGTCAATTCCTGTTTGTCTTTCGCGAACAGTACAATATCGTCGGCAAATCTTAGATTGTGCAGGCGTTCACCATGTATGTTCATTCCTTTGTCTTCCCATTGTAGCTTTTTAAAAATATCCTCGAGCACTAAAGTGAATAGTTTTGGAGATATTACGACCCCTTGCCGAACTCCTCTTT